ATTGCTTTAAATAGCAAGTCTGATTGTAATAGCTAGTTAGAATGAAAAATAAAGAATAACTCATTCTTCCAATCTCTGAGTTCTCTCTCTCTATTCCTCTCTTTCTGTTCCAACAAACTGGTATCAGAGCAAGAGTTTCGAAGGGGCCTGAGGAAAAATTGAAGGAGACGAAGCTGTGAGTCTGTGCAATTGTGATCCGTAGCCATGAATAGTGCCCATGGAAACCTTCCATCCACATTGCCCGTTCTTACTGAGAAGAATTGGGAACGATAGAGCATCCAAATGAAGGTGCTGTTTGGGTTTCAGGACATCCAAGAAGTGGTGGAATCTGGGATTCTAGCGTTGGCAACCGGAGCTAGTGATGCACAGAAAGCAGCGAACAAGGAGGCGAAGAAGAAGGAATGCAAGGCGATGTTTCTTCTTCATCAATGCGTGGATGATGCGCATTTTGAGAAGATCTCCAAAGCAACCAGTGCAAAGGAAGCTTGGGATATAATTCAACGATGTCACGCCGGAGGGGAGAAGGTGAAGAAGGTTCGCTTGCAATCTTTACGCAAGCAATATGAGAGCTTGCACATGGAGGAGAACGACACGATTGGAGCGTATTTCACCAAGATTCTCACACTGATCAATCAGATGAAAGGGTGTGGTGAAACGATCACAAATTTGATGGTGATTGAGAAAATCTTGCGATCTTTACCGATGAAATTTGATTACATAGTAGTGGCGATCGAGGAATCCAAAGATTTGGAAGAGATGAAGCTTGAGGAACTGCAAAGTTCGTTGGAGGCTCATGGATTACGTCTTCAAGATCGAGTGGCTGAGAGGAATCACCAAGATCAAGCGCTGAAGGCTCAGACATCGAAGAAGGCGTATGATGAGAAACGCAAAGGCAAATGGAAAAGCAAAGGCAAGGCCAAAGGGGAATCTTGGTCTTCTTCAAGAGATTATGATCGCAAAAGTGGTTCTTCACATCAACATGGTGGTCATGAGTGGAATTCTGGCAAGAATTAAAGGGTGGACAAGAAGAAAGCTGAATGCTACAATTGCAGGAAGATTGGTCATTTTGCACGAGAATGTCCAAATGGTAGAAGTGAACAGAGAAGGGGTGACAATGAGGCCAATGCAGCTCATGAGGATTCAGATCAAGAACCCCTGCTTCTCATGGTAACCACCAGCTCTAAAGATTCTTCTGTTTCTGTAAATTCTAAATCAAACTTGTGGTATTTAGATACGGGTTGTTCTAATCACATGACTAGTCATAGAGAATGGCTAATTGACTTAGATGAAACTAGAAGAAGCACAGTTAAGTTTGCTGATGACAGAACACTTGACATAGGAGGGATTGGAGGTGTTGCAATTCATAGAAAGGATGGTAGAACTGCAATAATAGAAGATGTGTTGTATGTGCCTGGAATGACTTGCAATCTGTTGAGTATTGGCTAGCTGATTCAGAAAGGGTTCAAGGTCATTATGGAGAAGAACTTTTTCGATCTGTTTGATGCTAAAGGAAGATTGATCTTGAAGGCTTCACTTTCAGAAAATAGAACCTTCAAGGTTAACATTAAAGCATCTGAGGTTCATTGCTTGAAAGCCTCAGGATCCTTACAGGACAGGGAGTCAAATTGGTTGTGGCATGCTAGATTTTGTCACTTGAATTTCAGAAGTTTACACCAGTTGGGAAGTGATGGTATGGTCTTGGGATTACCGACAACAACGATCCCAGAGAAGATTTGTGAAACCTGCTTTACAGGGAAGCAGACAAGGAAATCTTTCACTGCTGAGTTAGCCATGAGAGCTAATGATCTTCTTGGGGTTGTTCAGTCTGACATTTGTGGACCCTTTGAAGTTAATTAACATGGTGGAAATAGATACTTCATCACTTTTGTGGATGAATTCAGCAGAATGTTATGGCTATTTCTCATTAAAGCCAAGAATGAAGCACTTGGTGTGTTCAAGAGATTCAAGGCAGAAGCTGAGAGACAAAGTGGTAAACTTCTGAAGGTGTTTAGGACTGATGGTGGTGGAGAGTATACTTCACATGAATTTGAAGAATTTTGTTCACTAAGTGGTATTCAACATGAGAAAACTGCACCCTATACTCCTCAACACAATGGCTTGGCTGAGAGGAGAAATAAAACTCTACTTAACATGACAAGAAGCATGCTGAGGGAGAAGCACTTGCCACAAGAGTTTTGGGGGGAAGCAGTTTCCACAGCTTGTTATATTCTAAACAGATGCCCTACAAAGAGATTGAAGAAGCAAGTACCACTTGAGGTGTGGACAGGAAAGAAGCCCTCTGTTAGCCATTTGAGGATTTTTAGGTCTTTATGCTTCAAGCATGTACCTGATCAGAAGAGGAGGAAGCTCGAAAGCAAAAGTGAACCAATGATTCTTATAGGGTATCATCCAACAGGTGCATATAAATTGTTTGATCCTGTGAAAAGACAATCTTGTTTTAGCAAGGATGTTCATGTTGTAGAAGATGAGCACTGGGACTGGAGGTTGAAACAAACTAGTCTCAACAAGGTTCACATTGCACCAGAGATGCTTGAAGAACAAGTCACTGATGGAGAAAGTGAGGAGCAGCTACCTGCAATACAAAGACAAAGACAAAGACAAAGACAAAGAAATCTACCTGCCAGGTTCAATGAATTTGAAATGGCAAGTGATGCTGATATTTCTGAGGAGGGTGAACTAATCCATTATGCACTTATGGCAGATTCTGAGCCACTTGATCTCAATGAAGCCTTGAAGAAATCAAAGTGGAGATTGGAAATGGTTGATGAGCTTAAGGCAATTGAGAGGAATAAGACTTGGGAGTTAGTAACTCTACCTCAGAATAAAGTTCCAATTGGAGTTAAATGGGTGTATAAGCTAAAGTTAAATCCTGATGGATCAATATCTAAACACAAAGCAAGGTTAGTTGCTAAAGGGTTCTTGAAGAGGCATGAACTGGATTATACAAAAGTTTTTGCTCCTGTGGCTAGGATGGAGACAATTAGAGTGGTTGTTGCTATGGCTAATGCAAGGCAGTGGAGTTTACATCAGTTGGATGTAAAATCAGTATTCCTGAATGATCCATTGGATGAGGAAGTTTATGTAACACAGCCACCAGGGTTTGAGATCAAAGGCCAAGAGCACAAAGTCTACAAACTTAACAAAGCACTTTATGGACTCAAGCAGGCTCCAAGAGCCTGGAATAAGAGAATTGATAGCTTCTTGGAGCAGCTGAAATTCATTAAGTGTTCAGTGGAGCATGGAGTCTATGTGAAGAAACAAGGAGATGGGCACATCATGATCATTTGCCTCTATGTTGATGATCTTCTAGTGACAAGATCAAATGTGAAAGACATTGAAGCATTCAATATGGTTATGAGCTTAGAGTTTGAGATGACAGATCTAGGTGAGTTAACCTATTTTCTGGGAATGCAGTTTACTAGAACATCACATGGTTTACTTATGCATCAAAGTAAGTATGTGAGTGATATCCTTAAGAGGTTCAATATGGCTGGTTGTAATCCAGTAAATACACCTGCTGAGGTAAATGTCAAGATGAGAAGAAATGATGTTGGTGAAGCTGCAGATCCTACATTGTTCAAGCAGATTGTAGGGTCATTGAGGTTTCTGTGTTCAAGCAGGCCTGATATTTGTTATGCAGTGGGTCTTGTGAGTAGATTTATGAGTGATCCCAAGCAAACTCATATGGGAGCTGCTAAGAGAATACTAAGATACCTGCAAGGAACTCATGATTTTGGAATACTGTTTCCAAATCAAGCTAAGTCTCAAAAGGCATTGCTGACAGGTTTTTCAGATTCGGATTATGGAGGAGATCTGGATGAGGGAAAGAGCACATCAGGGTATGTGTTTAGGTTCTTTGGAGCTCCTATTTCATGATCTTCAAGGAAACAATTTGTGATAGCATTGAGTTCTTGTGAGGCAGAATATATTGCTGGTTCATCTGCAGCTTGTCAAGCATTCTGGTTAGATGAATTGTTGAAAGCCTTGCAGATTGAAGTGGAGAAGCCCTTGAAGCTGCTTGTTGATAATGTTTCTGCAATAAGCTTAGCCAAGAACCCTGTGTCCCATGGGAGGAGCAGGCACATCGAGGTGAGGTTCCATTTCTTGAGGGAGCAAGTACACAAGGGAAGGTTAGAGCTGGAGTATTGTTCAACAGAAGAGCAGGTTGCAGATGCATTTACCAAAGCATTGAGGGTTGATCGTTTTGACAAGATGAGGAAGGAGCTTAGTGTGGTATCACTAAGGAGTTTGAATTAGAGGGGAGTGTTGAAAGAATAATTCAACTATATTGATCAATGACTGTAATAAGGACTGATTGGTTAAGTTTGTTAGATAACCAATTAATTAGTTTTCTGTTAGTTTGTTACATTGCTTTAAATAGCAAGTCTGATTGTAATAGCTAGTTAGAATGAAAAATAAAGAATAACTCATTCTTTTAATCTCTGAGTTCTCTCTCTATTCCTCTCTTTCTGTTCCAACGATCCGTATATTTTAATTAACACCTCCATTGTATTTTCATACTATACTATCTATCATTTTAGTTTATTTATTCTTTTAATAAAAATTTAAATTTAAATGAAGCTAAGGAACTACGGTGTAAGCTATACGGTGTAATATTTTTTGTGTCATTATAGCACTCCTCTATACATATTTGTGGGTGGGGGTGTATGTGACATATTTAATACTAATTCGGTAAAATATAGTTATAATGGAAGAATTGTGTAGCCATCAATCACATAGACTCGTAGATGCAATGCAATACCTCAATCTCATTACCATATAGCAACATTAAGTTCACAAATCACAATTTCAGGTTTTAGAACAATGCCTTTCACCTAACTCTCTATGTTCTCTACCATATTCTCTTACTCTATAAAGGTTTTCTTCCACATATCATCAATGCATCAAGTACCCATTGCAAGTTTTCCATTCCTTTGAAGAGAAAAAACATCAAAGCTTTAACATTCACCAAAACCAAAATGATGTTGAAGAAGCAATCTCATCTCTTGTCCTTCTCCCTTGCAATACTAATTTCTCTTTTGTATTCCACCACCACTACTTTATCCCAATTATCACCAGCTGCTGCTCCAATACAACCTACACTACCTTCCCCCACCACGCCAGCTGCATCTCCCAAACCATTGGTACCTTCATTACCGGAATCACCTAGTGACTCCACACCTGACACCACAGCGGTTGACATAGTTGGAATCCTGAGAAAAGCCAAGTCATTCAACGTCCTACTCCGACTCATGAAAACAACTCAATTGATCAACCAACTCAATTCGCAACTATTGACTACAAAAACAGGCGGATTAACAATTCTCGCACCAGATGACAGCGCGTTCTCAGAACTCAAAGCAGGATTCCTTAACTCTCTTTCTGATGGACAGAAACTCGAGCTCTTACAGTTCCACGTTATTTCCGACTACGTATCAAGCTCTAATTTCGATATTCTAACCAACCCAGTGAGAACACTTGCTGGAGCCAAACCAGGAAAGGTGGAACTGAACGTTGTGAGTTACGGTGGAAGTGTGAACATATCAACAGGTGAAGTGAACACTACAATCAGTGGTATTATATATACTGATAAACATCTTGCTATCTATAAAGTTGGCAAAGTGCTGCTTCCTATGGATTTCTTTTCAGTCGCTAAGGCACCCAAGAAGGGACCGGCTTTGGCTCCGGAGCCTTCGGCACTGACTCCAAAAGCTGAAAAGCAAAAGCCACTATCACCAGATTCCTCTGATTCATCTCAAGCTAAGCCCTCAAATGATAACTCTAGTACTGTAAAAATCAATGCGTATGGAAAGTGGATATCTTTTTTTCTTGGAGCAGTTATGTTAACTTCATTTTCTGCATAAACCAGAATAGGATTTCAATTTACCAATTTTCAAACTTAAGATGATATGAATATTCAAGAGTGTGATGTATTGTTATCATGTTATGTAATATTGTGAGAAATGAGTGATTATTATAGTTCCAAATGTGTCAAAAAGTAAAGAGTTTTATCAGTGTAATCTTTATACCATATAATTATTGAGAGTGACCAATTCCATGCACCTTAGATGTTACAAATAACATTTCTATTAATACATGCATGCATCCAATTGATGTATTTTATCAATCTATTAACAATGATATGTGAAAGCAAAATAACTACATATTTCACATATTAATGCACCAGCATCACCTTTCCCGGATAGGTAAGGGAGCTGTTTATGTGAAAACTGGATCCTTTTCTAAAACTTTGTACCATACAATTTTCTCTGGCTCATTAAAATATGCATCATGTGTTTTTTTCCCTCAGCAACAAATAGCAGCAAACACTGGAGCAATCTCCCTCCTACCTCCAACCTGTCCATCCCAACCCAAATATCCCAAATTCTAAATTTATTCTTTTACTAATTTGTAAAATAAATTCACTGCAAAAATTTTGGTATTGTAATAAAAGGTTACTTATTGTTAAAGAGTCGGTATACGTTATTTTTGATGAATTCTGTCAGAAGAATGTCGAATAAGATACTTCATTTTATGATGTAGGTTTATCTTCAGAAGACATACTCAAAAACACGGAAGAGGGAATTGATCGAGTCGAAACGGCGAAATCTGAGAACGGGGAAGATAATGTTTCTGAAAAGAAAAAGGATGAGAATCCAAATAAAGTGGATGATTTACCCTTGACCTGGAGGTCTTCAAAGGACCATCCATGAACAATATTCTCGGAGATATCACCAAAGCCGTAACGACGCACTCTAAGATAAGTAATTTTTATTATCACTTTGCATTCGTGTCACAAATTGAACCTAAAAACGCAAAAGAGGCCTTACTTGATGAGCATTGACTTATGGCCATGCAAGATGAATTAAATCAATTTAAAAGAAATGATGTATGAAACATCGTCGTCCATCTGCAAGATCATCAAGCTATTGGCACTAAGTGACTTTTTAGAAATAAGTTGGACGAAAACGGAGTGATAACAAGGAACAAGGTCCGACTAGTGGCTCAAGGATATGACCAATAGGAAGACATAGACTATGAGGAAACTTATGCTCCAGTTGCCCGCCTCAAGGCTATACGTCTTTTACTAATATTTGCATGTTCTAAAAATTTTAAGTTATTTCAAATGGATGTGAGAAGTGCTTTCCTTAACGGTTACATTAATGAAGAGGTGTACGTTTCACAACCTCCTGGTTTTGAAAATCATGAGTATCCTAATCATGTCTTTAAACTAAAACGTGCTTTGTAAGGCCTCAAACAAACCCCTAGGACTTGGTATGAGCGACTTAGAAAATTCTTACTTGGTCAAGGATATTCTAGAGGGAAGGTAGATACAACGTGTTTCATTAAACGTTAAGGAAAACATATTCTTCCCGTTCAAATTTATGTTGATGATATTATTTTTGGTTCCACTAACATGCAATTGGTCAAAGAGTTTTCTAAGATAATTAGGGAGAGTTTGAAATGAGTCTAATGAGGGAGTTAAACTACTTTCTCGAACTTCAAATCAAACAACTCAAAGAAGGGACTTTTGTGTGTCAAACAAAGTATTGCCAAGAGTTGCTTAATCGCTACAGAATGGTAGATGTAAATTCAATTGCCACTCAAATGCCCACAAATAGAAACATGGACAAAGATGAAAATGGTAAGAATGTTGACGTTAAAAGGTATAGAGGTATGATTAGATCTCTTCTATATTTTACTATATCTAGGCCCGGTATCATGTTTAGTGTATGCATGTGCACACGATATCAATCGGCTCATAAAGAATATCATGTAAAATCTGTAAAGTGTATTCTTAGGTATATTCATGGTACTTCTAAATGGGATTTGGTATCCCAAAGGATGTGATTGTAGTTTAATTGTTTACTCTGATTCCTATTTTTCTAATTACAAACCGGATAGGAAGAGCACTAATGGAACTTCCAACTTGTTTTCAAATTCTTTAGTCAGTTGACATAGTAAGAAGCAAGTCTTTGTTACCTTGTCAACTGCATAAGTGAAATATGTCGCTGCGAGTAGTTTTTTGCTCAAATCTTGTGTCTCAAACAACAATTTCTTGATTTTGACATTAAATTTCAACGTATTTCTATAATGTCTGACAATACTAGTGCTATTAAACTAACTAAAAATCCTGTGCTACACTCGCGTACTAAACATATTGAGATACATCACCATTTCCTACGCAATCATGTTGAAAAAGGAGATGTCATATTTGAGCATGTTAATAGAAAAAGTCAACTTGCCGATATATTCACAAAACCTCTTGCGTTTTCAATATTCATCAGAAATTGGGCATTCTCGATAATTCAAATTTGCCTAAATAGTTTGATACATGCACTCCCTCCATAATTATTTAACCTTCATTCGAAAGTTCTAGTTCATGTGAGTGCATCCTCCATTTGTCATCCTATGAGGTAATATCGTTTCATTTATCTCTTTGTTCGTAAGTGTTTATATCTTCCATTGCTTGTCAATATCTCTTAAAAAAACTTGATTGTGTGTTTATGTTCCAAAGATATGCGATTTAATGTGTAATACAATTCCATGAATGTTCACTTTCAAAAAAATTGTTGTTAACTTTGTGTGTTTTTAATTCATATGCTTATAGTGACTTTATGTTTTAATCTTTTGCACTTCATGATCATTTGTACTTCATGGCATAAACTCTTTATTTGAAATACATTATAATAGCTTGGTTGAACATGTTATTTATTTCTATTGCATTTTCATGCATTGGTTGGCTATTTATGTTTAAGCGCTATCACTTTAACTTAATTTTATGTGAGTGTTGTTTTTGTTGATTAAAATTATATTTGCAACGGCTCTTAGTAGTTTATATAGCATTATGTGGTTTTATTTGATACTTCTTACATTTTGTACTCTTTTTTTTCTTTTTAATATTGTCAAAGAGGGAGAAGATAGCAAGAACAAAGAAGACAAAGAAGAATGTAATTTGTTGCAAATACTAAAAGAAAGATGCATATATTCAGGGGAGATATGATCAAAGCTACAAATACATCATACATTTTTCCATCATCAAAAAGGGGGAGTATGTAAGTGCAATATCCTTCTCTTAGATATTTTAAATGATGTCAAAACTAGGCAATATGTAGTATTGATACATTGGACGTTATCTCTCAATGTCTAAGTTGTATTTTTCATATTAGGACACTTAGAGACCATGTTAAAATCCATTGGGAAAGTCAAACACTTCAAAAATATACATTTGGTGAAATATCAGGTTTCGAGTCGACTCCCCCGTGTTAGGAGTCGACTCCCTCTGAAGCTGTTTCAAAAAGGAACTTTTTGTCAAATATGAGTCGATACATACAACCTTTGGAGTCTAGACACAGCTGAAAGGAGTCGACTCCCTCAAGCTGTGGATCAACTCCTACTAAAAGCAAATTTCAAAATTCCTTTCTATTAAAAATGGGTCGACTCCCTGACCGTTTGGAGTCGATACATAACACGAAGGATTCGACTCCAAAGTGTATGTCTCGACTTCTACTTAAGCTTATTTTAAAAACTCACTTCTTTCCAATTGGAGTCGACTCCCAGGCTATATGGGTCGACTCCCTCTCCCTTAGAAGTCGACTCCCACTTCAAATGGGTCGACTCCTACTGATCAAATTGTCCAAATTTGTCATTTTGTAACCCTATTTTATTTGTTTCATTCATTCACACACTTACACACATATATAGTCATTCATGCATTTTTTCATAGACACAAAACCACAAATATAAAAAGCAATTTCTCATCATCTTCATCCTCTCTCTATGCATACACAAAAACAAATTACACATATTAATTTTTTATTTGGGTACCATCTACAGTTAACTTGATAAATTTCAATTAGGGTTCATTGTAATCGATTGGGTTGAGTACTCTTTGGGGGTTTCAAATAAGAAAAACAAGGTGGAGTTTTCCTTCTAGATCAACTGGTGAATTGAAGGTTTTGGACAAGATTGCACAATTTAGATTCAGCTGAGTGAAAGCTTTGAAGAACGGTTGGTTCGATCGAAGGAGTAGTGTGAGACGGAGGATCACATTGGTAAATCTTGGGTCACAATATGTTTGAAATTTGGATTTAGCCTAGTGAATTATTTGAAGAACGAGGGTTCTTGCAAAGGAGTAGCGTGAGATGGAGGATAAAATTGGAAGTATCGGGTTCACTTGATCGAGTTCAAGATCAAAGGGAAAGAAGAAGATATAATCAATAACATTCTTAAGTTTTTTTTTGTTGGATTGTTACGTGTTCTCTTGTATCAATATTTTGCGAAGGTTAATTTTCACTATCTCACTTCCGAACATAATTAGGGGAAAACGTACCCATAACAAGTCCAATTGAGTAATGGCCTAAAGAAAATCCTTGTGTCGCTCTCTTTATCTCTTACTCTCTACTTTACATTTTATTGCAAGTTGTGAAAACTTAAAATGTGCAATCGATACATCGAGATAATCTCAGGTTAATACCATAAACTTCTTTTATTTGATTACAATCCTTGTGATTGTAATTTGTTTCTAACATCAATAAAATCAAACAAAAATATGGTTTGCATCGATTGTACTCCAAGTGTTCGACAAATTTCCTTAGTTAATTTTTGTCGATTATTTCATTGGAAATTGACTGATATAGTGTGGTTTATTCAAATTTGGTTTTCTGGAAATTTATTGGTTGTTTTTCTCATCATACATAAACTAGTTCCATCTGTTTAACACATATATGGTCTTTTCGATAACGGTTCGGATAGACGATTTCCAATCCAAGTGTATTTCTGTATGCAAATGTTTAAAACATTTTAAAACAAAATTTTAATTTGAAAATTTCATTTGCGATCTATTCAACCCCCATTTCTAGAT